GTTTTCTGTGTATAAGATCATATCATCTGCAAATAGAGATACTTTTACTTTGTCCTTACCAGTTTGAATGTCCTTTATTTCTTTTTCTTGCCTTATTGTTCTGGCTAGGACCTCCAGCACAATGTTGAATAAGAGTGGTGATAAAGGGCATCCTTGTCTGTTTCCTGTTCTCAAGGGGAATGCTTTCAGACTCTCTGCCTTAAGGATGATGTTGGCTGTTGGCTTTGTATAAATGCCCTTTATTATGTTGAGGAATTTCTCTTTTGTTCCTATTTTACTGAGAGTTTTTATCATGAATGGGTGTTGGATTTTATCAAATGCATTTTCTGCATTGATTGATAAGATCCTGTGATTCTTTTATTTATGCCATGGATTACATTGATTGTTTTTCAAGTATGGAACCATCCCTGCATACCTGGTATAAATCCCACTTGATCATGATGAATTATTTTTTTGATATGTTGTCGAATTCTATTGGCTAGAATTTTGTTGAGGATTTTTACATCTATGTTCATGAGGGGTATTGGTCTGTAATTTTCTTTTCTTGTGGTGTCCTTACGTGGTTTTGGTATCATGGTTATGCTGGCTTCATAGAATGAGTTTGGGAGTATTCCAACCTTTTCTATGCTCTGAAATACCTTTAGTGGTAGTGGTGTTAACTCTTCTCTGAAAGTCTGGTAGAATTCTCCAATAAGCCTTGAGGGCCAGGGCTTTTTTTTTTGTTGGAAGTTTTTTTAGTACCTCTTCAATCTCTTCTTTTGTTACAGGTTTATTTAGTTTTTCTACCTCAGTTTGTGTTAGTTTAGGTAGGTAGTATGTTTCTGGAAATTTATCCGTTTCCTCTAGGTTTTCAAATTTGTTGGAGTACAGTTTTTCATAGTATTCTGTTATGATTCTTTTTAATTTCAGTTGGGTCTGTTGTGATACCGCCCATCTGAGTTCTTATTTGGGTGTTTTCTTTTGTCAGTTTGGCCAGTGGCTTATCAATTTTGTTGATCTTTTCAAAGAACCAGCTTCTGGTGTTGTTGACTGTTTCAATTGTTTTTCTGTTCTCTATTTCATTTATTTCTGCTCTGATTTTTATTGTTTCCTTTCTTCTGGTGCCCGAGGGCTTCTTTTGCTGCTCTCTTTCTATTTGTTCGAGTTGTAGGCTGATGTTTTGGTTTTGACCTTTCCTTCTTTTTGGATGTGTGCGTTTATTGCTATAAGCTGACCTCTGAGCACTACTTTTGCTGTGTCCCAAAGGTTCTGGTAAGAAGTGTTTTCATTCTCATTTGATTCTATGAATTTCTTTATTCCATCTTTGATTTCTTCAAAACCCATTAGTTTTTGAGCAAGGCATTGTTCAATTTCCACGTATTTGGTTTTTTTCCCTTGCTTTTTCTGTTATTAATTTCTAGTTTTATGGCTTCACGGTCAGAAAAGATGGTTTGTAATATTTTAACGTTTTGGATTCTCTTAAGGCTTGCTTTGTGGCCTAATACGTGGTCTATTGTGGAGAATGTTCCATGTGTGTTGGAAAAGAAAGTATACTTGGCTGCTGTTGGGTGAAGTGTTTTGTATATGTCTATGAGATCAAGTTGGTTGATCATGACATTTAGATCTTACACGTCTTTACTGAGCTTGTTTCTAGATGTTCTGACCTTCACTGACAGTGGTGTGTTGATGTCTCCTACTGCTATTGTGGAGCTATCTGTTTCTCTTTTCAATGCTGTTAGAGTTTGTTTTATGTATTTGGAGTTCTGTCGTTGGGTGTGTATATATTTATTATGGTTATGTCCCCCTGGTGTATTGACCCTTTAATCATTATATAGTGTCCTTCCTTATCCTTTGTGATGGATTTTGCTTTAAAGTCTATTTTGTCAGAGATTAATATTACCACTCCTGCTCTTTTTCAGTTTTTGTTTGATTGATATATTTTTTTCCATCCTTTGAATTTTATTGTATTACCGACCTTTGGTTAGCAACTGAGCTCTTAACCGCTGGGCCACCAGGGTCCCGCTTGGCACATTAGAACTGTTTAATAAGTATACTTGGATATGAAAATAATGCTGAATTCTTGATGAGATTGACATAAAGATTAAATCAAATAGTATATGTTAAATATTTAGCCAAGTACCTGAGTCATAATAAATGCTAGCTGTTGTTATTATTAGGGTCCCTTATAGGGCAGATGGTTAATGCACTTGGATGCTAACCAAAGGTTGGAGATTTGTGTCCACTCTGATGCACCTCAAAAGAAAGGCCTGGCAATCTACTTTTGCAAATTTAGCCATTACAAATCCTATGTAGCACAATTATTTTCTGACATACATGCAATCACCATGAGTCAGAATTGACTCAATGGCAACTGGTTTATTGTTATTAACACTTGTATGCTCCATTGCAAAGTACTTGTTTTATAGCAGTAGTCACTGCAGTGTGCCAGATAGAGCTTTCAGCAGTTTCTATACATTTATCACTATAATCTTCACAACAATCTGGCAAGTTTTATAGCTGAGGAAACTGAAGCTCCAAAGGTTAAGTAATTTGTCCAGTAACACCCAGCAAATAGCAGAACCAAGTGCAAGCCCAGGCATTTTGACTAAATTCCATGCAGTTTCTACTACAAACGCTTATAACTGAACAAAGGATACTGCTTAAACTAGAATTCCAGATTTTGAATTTTCCCTTTCAATTTAAAAACAAACTGTGTTTCAAAAGTTAGTTTGCAAAGTGGTAAATGGATAGAAAGAAGAAAGGGAACATTAACTCAGCAGGTATTTCTTTAGTTCCTGGGTCTGTAGAGGTGAATATGACCCAGTTATAGAGAGGGAAACAGACCAGAAATTGCACTGCAGAGTGAGAAGTGATAGAATACATACCATATGCAAAGATACTTGGTGGCACAAAAGAGAAGGTAATCATTTTTGATTGAGGCAATGAGGGGAGAGTTTACAAAAGAAGAGTCACTTGAGCCTAGGGCCTGAGAGATGAACAGGTAGACAAAGTGGGGAGATGATGGTGGTATGATGTTCTAGAAGACCTTTTGTGCTATTCAAAGAAGCTTGAGCTTCATCTAGCTAACAAAGAATCACTTAAAGATTTTAAAACAATAAAATTTAAAAGATTTTAAGACAATGAAACTTGGCAGTAGTGTGGAGGGTGGATTGTTAAGACTGAGTCTGGAAGCAGAAGACCAAATTGAAAACTATTGCCCTGCAGACAAATACAGTGATGTCCTCCTGAATTAAGACAGTAGCACTGGGATGGCCTGGAAAGATGTTTAGGAGAAAGGCAGTATTCAAGGACTGATAAGATGTTCAGAGTAAGGGAGAGGGGAACATGTACGATGACTCTCAAGTTCTGGCTTGGTTGACTGGAGTAGCTGATAATGCCATTAAATACAGAGAAAATGCAGAAGAGTAATCAATGGAAATGAGTTCAGTTTTAGGAATGATGAATTTGAGGAGCGTCATAGTGGCAATATCAGGTGGATAGTTGAAGATAAGATCTAATTTTGGGTATCATTATAGCCCTGGGCTCAATAGAGTGTCAGCATCCTTACAGGGGTTGGAAATGATGAGGCTTGAGGACTCCCATAGGAGTAGGAATGAAAGACGTCTCCCACATAATCTGCAAGGATGGTCCCTAATTTAGAGAGTTTTCCTGAAGTCCTGCACAACACTTTTGCTTACATCTTATGACCAGAACTTGGGCATGTAGTGCATACCAGAAAGATTAGGAAATGCACACTTAGCTGAGCACACTGCTCTGCCAAATAACATCAGGATTCATTAATTAAGAAAGAGAATTGATATTGGGTAGGAAACCAGCGTTCTGCCAGATAGATCATATAGTCAAATATCTACCTTTTTTTCATATGTATGACATAATAGACATATTTAAAATTAGATACTATATAAAAATTTTGAAGTTTTCCACCTTCACGTTTTATGAAACATTTTTAAAAGTTTATTCAAAGTCATGTACATTTTTGACATTGATATTTTCAGTATATCCAGTTTTTGAGTCATCTGATATTTTTCCAAGTCACATTAGCTTTCCTTTCATCTAAGTTGCCTGAAATACAGAAAATCCTTCCTCATGGCTCACTAAGAATTCTGTAACAAACCAAAAATACCACTTGCATTCATTAGGTCAGTTTTTTAAAAATTCATTCTTTAGGTATATAATTGTAATATAAATAACATACAATAATATAACCACTTATTGCATTGCTTTATTTGATGGGCCTTTACAAAGACTTATTTTCATTAGCTCTAGATCAGTTCCATGCATTGCCAGTTAGACTACTTCCACTTACAATGACATCCAAAACATATAATTGTAAATAATTAGTAAATATAAATTAAGTTTCTTTCCCTCTCTTTTTTAGTGATTGTTTCAGATGGCCTTTAAATAGCCTCCAGAACCAGTATTAATTGAGGTTAATTCCAGTTTGTGTTAAATGAGCACCCTTTAATTTGAAAGACTTTGTAAGGTTATATGACAATGTCCTTTTTTTTCCCTTCTATGGACTAATTTTTTGGAAATACTATCTTTTTATGTTTGGGCATATATGGTGCATCCCCCCACTCCCCTTAGGAAGTCAATTCTGTCACTTTTCTATGTGCCCCTTGGGCAGAATTAAATTGATGATTACTTTTAGATTTAGATCTAGTAAAGGGGGGTTACTAGACAATTGGCAAAACAGGATTGAAGGAAAACAATTTTCAATCATTATATAACCTCCTGTGTTTCACTATAAATCATTATCTTTTCTATTAAGCCCCAAAGGTGTCTGTACTCGCACACAATGTTGTTCGTACTGTTCCAACTTGAAGGTAATAAAACTTCATTTCTTTGTAAAACGTTTATTATTTAGACATTATACCCATTTAAAATTGTTCTTCCTTTCTAGCTTGAATTAAATGAGATTTTACCATAGTTATTTTAGAAGTTAATTTTTGTTATTATTTATAACAAAGTAACTTGTTCCCCTCAAATTTTTATTTTAGGCTTTTTTCAAAGACCCAAATGTTATTCCCAGTTTGAAATTACTTCCAGATCCATCTGGACAATGGATTACATTAGGTAAATAAAGCTTACTTTCATTTTTTCAGGTGACTGTCCTTCTGGGAATTCACTGCAACTATCCTGGCTTAGCACACAAGAGCAATTTTTCTTTTCTTTTTATTCATTTAGAAAATACTGTGCAACTTCTGTATACTCTGCTTGATGTCAGGAACATTAAGGTGAAAAAGAGAAAGCCTGTACCCAAGGAACTCATAATATGTGAAAAAATATGTGCAGTAATGTATCACAGGTGCTACCATAGAAGTGGGAACAAGGAGGGGGTGGGTAATCAGTTCTACCCAGAGGGAAGGGATCAGGAAAGATTCCACTGATATGAGGATGCTTGGAGCCCTGGTGGCACAGTAATAAAGAGCTTGGCTGCCAGCCAAAAGGTCAGCAGTTCAAATCCACCAGCCACTCCTTGGAAGCCTAGTGGGGCAGTTCTGCTCCGTTCTGTAGGGTCACTATTAGTTGGAATCAACTCAATGGCAACAATTGAGCTAAATCTCAGTTGCAACAGGGCATGGATTTCTGACAGAGGAAACAGTTGCCATGGAACAGTTTTTAAAAATAATTATAAAATCATGAAGGAGATAATCTTAAATTCTCAAAAGAAGAACTTTGTATAAATAATATTTTCATAATATATTGAAACAGCTAGAAACTTTTAAAGAAAAATACTCAACCATTTAAATGCTTAAAGTTCATTTAAATTTCTTAACTTTCAGATCAAGTAAGAAATCAGAGTTAATAGAAAAATATTTTGTAAACAAAAACATGAACATTATGTTTTAAACTTTAGGTTGAGGCCTCTTAACAATAGAACAAGTAAAAGCATCATTCCATTTAGAAGGAGAATCTGTTTGGTAATGTGGGTTTGTACTCAAGAAAACAAATTGATTTTAAATACTAGATAGGGATTTTGTTTTTATTTTTAAATTTTATTTACTGTTATTATTTTTTTTTTTTGTAAATTCTTACATTGTTCTTTCATGGAATTCAACAGCCTTACACAAAAATAACTTTTCTTAATATATTAGTCAAAAACAAGATTACAAACAGTGATTTTAGAATTAGTAGATAAGATTTTATTGCTTTTGGTTAAAGACGACTGAAAAATTTATAGAGCAAAAAGCTGATAAAGCATGATCTTCAGACTACTTACAAAGTTAGACTGAGTATCTAAACAAATATATTTACCAATTCAAATAAAAATTTCAAAAAGAAAATCAGAGTCACATTTGCAGTATTTATAAAACATGTTTACAGCAACTTGTCAATTCTTTAAAAAAAAAAAAAAATGGTTTACCAAAATAAGTGTCCAACCTTCTCCCATATCAGTATATACATCACGAAATAACAATTGACTTTTTTTCTTGTTTTTGAAGAAGGCATTGAAAAAAGAGAGGTTCTAAAATTCCACATGTGCCTGACAGGATCTATTAGAAGTACTCTGAAAAATAGGGCAGAGGAGGTAGTAGTTCATTTCAGAAGCAGAAGTTTCTGGTGGATCTCTTGTCCTCTTCCCTTAGCTTGTTTTTATCTCCTGTTTACCTCTGCTTTTTCTCATTGGCTACCTTATCTCTAATTTTCCACTGGGGACCTTTATAAGCAAAAGAAACAGCTTTTTAAAACCACTCCTGAAGCCCAGTTGTCAGACAAAGATTAGACAGGCCTACAAAACAATACCACATGTGAGGAACATGCTTTTAGTTCAGCTAAATATAGGAGACCAAATGGGCAACTCCTGTCCAAAAGCAAGATGAGAATTGAGGAAAGGGTAGGAACTGGATGAATAGTCACAGGAAACCCAGGGTAGAAATGGGGAGAGTGCTGTCACATTGTAAGGATTGTAACCAATGTCACAAAACAGTATGTGTATAAATCTTTGAATTGAGAAACTAACTTGAGCTATAAACTTTCACCTAAAGCACAATAAAATTTTTTTTTTTAGTGGGAGAAAAGACACTCTTCTAGCAAGTGAACCAATTCTAAAGAGAATGATCATGAACCTCTTTCACCACTAGCTGCACTGCCTAGATTGCCAGTTGTTAGCACTGCTTCATCCTCTTAGCCAGCTGCCATAACTCCCTTCCTTTAGACACACTAAGCTCTTTTTTGTTAAACATATAATGGGTGCTTCCTGTGTGCTCAACTAAGGCCATTACACACATTAAACCAAAAAAACTAGAGGCACATTACATCCTTTAATTCTCAATCCTGAGAGAGGTATTGTTATACTCTGTATATCCCTATTTTACACATGAGGAGTCAGAGATATAGGTTAAATAATTTGTATGGTTTCTCGCAGCTGGCTAGCTGGAGCCAAGGTTCAAATCCAGGCTTCAGAATTCAAGACCTTGACAACTACACCATCCTGCCCCTGCCACTTACATGTTGACAGGGATTGCCAGAAAAGCACCAACTTAGACACCAAACGAAAAATAGACATATGCATTCTTAACTTCCTGTGTGTAATTGTAATGGCACACATTATAAATGCTGAAGGCATAATTTAACCAAATTCCTATATTTCTGTAATAGGATTTTTGCGTGTATTATCATTAATTTGTGACTCGCTGTAAAAAAAGGAAGAGAATCATAAAATCGCAGGCATTAATGGATAACTAGCAGTGGGTTTTCTTCCACTGAAATGTTGAAGTAGAGGTTCATATTAAGAATTCAGGCTTCAAGAAACAAAGGTTCTTGCTTTTTTTTTTTCCCCCCTTCTTTTTAATTTGCCTAGGAATCTCTTGTCAAAATGTTCATTGCCTAGAAATTCTGATTCATTAACTCCAGGATGAGGTTGAAGTCCAAGATGGTACACTGTATTTTTTACAGTGACCTTTGATGAATCCCATAGGAATGACACTTTGAGAAGCAATGAAATATTGAATTCATTGACAGCTATCTAACATGTCCTCCAATAGTAACTTTGTGATTATCCTTCATAATAAACATCAGTAGGACTCTAGTTAATGAATTTGCAAATACCTGTGTCTTCATTTTTAGGTATTAGCCTAAGTTCAGAAAGCCTGTAGGGCTCCTGGCACTTTCCTTGCCTAGGTGCTTCTCTGCCTTTGCTAGAGCTATTCCTTCTACCTGTAAAGGCTTTTCTTTACACTGCTGCCTTTTGAAATCCTACCGTTTTCTCAAGCCCGTATTCAGTGCCACTACATATGTCCAACCTTTCTTATTTCTAAGTCAGAATTGTTTTCTCCCTTCAAGTCTCCTAATTTCACTTTTTTATACTGTTACTGGATTTGTTGCATTCAATCACTGTGGTTGTTTATAAGAATGCTTATCTTCTCCCATTATATAATTCATTCAACTTAATAGTTTCATAATGCTTACCTTGTAGTAGAGGCTCAAACATGTTTTTCTTGAATTAGATAAATTATCCCTCGTAATTAATAAAAGTATACAGATTTTATAAGACTTGGTACAGTAACTGCTTTTTATGCCCTTTCATTGGTTAATCTCCTTTTATGTCCTAGTCTGTTTAAGGATATCTAAACATTGGAGAGTGGGATACTTTAGTAATGTCCAGAATAGCTTGTATTATTTTTATATTAAAATTAAACTTCTATCAGCTTGGATTTATTGAGTTGGGCAAGATTATCCTCATCATTCCTATGGTAAAGATCCATAGTTTAATTTGAGTAAGAAGTTAGTATTGTTTTTTATTAGTAGTAACTATCAAATACATATGAAAATTTAATAATACTAGAATTGTAACTTGACAAAACCCTAAAAGATAATTTAGTCCATCTTTCTACTTTTAACATGACTAGGTCTAAAATACTTCTTTAGAAAAATATTTCTGAACCCCCACTGGGAGCCCGTATCTGTGTTTAATGAGAACAAGAGGAAGTTCAGTCTTGAAATCTGTCTGTCCCTTAAAATGCCTAGGGTTCTCCCAAGCCTAGAAACATTACAAATAGCAGGGTAATTTTTACATTTAGATAAACCTTTATAGGGTCACTCTGAGTCAGAATCAGCTTGACGGCAACGGATTTGGTTTTGGTTTTTTTTTAATGAATTGAGCACCCACTGATAAAAGCAGAATTGAAAATAGCATTATTATTTTACATTCCTCAGAACAGCACAAATATAATATCAAATAATAATAATGAATAATGATTACATTTAATATTGATAATTTAAAACCAATGCATTCACTTTTTGTTTTATTACTGTGTTTTTTTTTAATGTAGGTTTATTCAGAAATAAATGTATTACTACAAACCTGTCATAAAAATTGGTCTAGTCTGTAGTCAAATCAAGAAATGCCCTAATTAATTTAACCCAGTTAGAGCAAATTTAAAATATGATTCAAAATATATAAAATCTAGAGCCTTCATGCTTTAGTTTTTACTTCCTTTTCCTCGTGGATAATTGATCACTATAATTGAGATAACAATAATTGAACTTTACGTAAGGCCCTTTAAATAAATTTCCCAACAGGCTGAAGTCATGAATATTTATATTAACATCTTATAAGAATTAACCACAATTGTAGAGAAAAGTAGATTTCTGAATTAATACAAGTCTTTTCAGAAAGGAGAAAACAGTATTAAATATCAAAAAAATGGAAAGAGAAAAAAACCTTTGCTGTCGTGTTCTGCCCTGTGGCTGTATTATTTATTCATACTGATAGTTAAGACTAACAACCATATGTTTTAACTAACAGCAATAATAGGTAAGAAAACTTACTAATAGAATTTAAAAGTATTTTTGTCCTTGAAAAAGACTTGTTTCTTGGAAGAATGCTGTATAAATGCCTCAGATTCATTGGTTTGAATTTAATTACCTTTTCTCATCATCTAAACCTTCCTACCACGCTCCAAATCAGAGCTAGATTAGATTTATTAAAATGACATGTTGCCCAATATCAATTCCTCATCCTGGGACCACTAACCCATCTTCTGAGACTGACAGACCCTCTACTGCTCTTGTTCTCTGGTCTTCCAACATTGCTCAGAGCTACTCTCTCATTTAGGATGACTTGGTTTTGATTTTATCTAGCCCAACAGAGGATTTTGCCTCTTTAAGTAGCATAGTTTTTGAAATTACTGAAGCATGCACAGTTTTCTGGCTTGAGTCATCCTTCTTGCCTCCAAACTAACCCAGCTCAGAATTAGAACATAGAGCAACAGGTCCAGGCAGGACTCCAAGTGGACAGCCAGAGAGAGGAAGCACAAACAATTGCCAGTATTACTTACTCTTCTTGAATACAATCTACTTCTCAGGTCACAGATTCAACAGATATATCCAGGGAGAGGACACACCAAGGGCCACCACACCTGGTTCTGCAGTCTACCTATAACTTTGAACAAAAGAATACAACCCCTTTATATCTGAACAAGCGCTTGCATGCGATTGTGTATGCATGTTATATATGCATAAGTGAGAAATTGAGTGACCTATTGGGGTGATAAAAATATTTGCTTTTAACTTTGTCTTTCTGTAATTTAATAGAACCTCTAGTAACAAAATCCATTTCTGAAAGGCACATTTAGAAAATAGGTGTGGGGATCCAGAAAAGGGACACCAGGGGAAATTCTAATTTGGAACTCGTGATAATTTGATTAGGGCCTGGTTTGTGATTTACCTTGACTTAGAAAACCTTTTTGTAATAAACACTGTAAATGAGATAAAACAAACAAAACTCATTGCTGTTGAATCATTTCCAACTCAGCAATCTTACAAGACAGAGTATAACTGCCCCATAGGGTTTCCAGGGGTAGATTCGAACATGCCCACCTTTTGGTTAGCAGCCGAGCGCTTAACTACTGTGCCACCAGAGCCCCTAAATGAGATCACGGGGAAATTTTTGAATGGAGAGAAAATATTTTCAAGACACCCTCAGAAACTATAGAAACACTCATTACTTAACATTTATTAATATAATTTTTATAATAGGGAATTATAAAGCATTAAGCATGATACAAATTCAGTCATATAAAGTAATTCCTGTGTTATAATTTTAATATATACAGTAAAACTTCTAAGAATCCCCTACTACTGAAAAAATGTATTTCATTTTTAAGCATTCTCTAATTCACATATCCCTTGATCTAGTCCTGAATTAGATTTTGTTATAAACTTTTAATGATTAATAAAAATGAACAAGCTTTAAGAATTTAATAAAATCTCTAATGTTTCTTTTAAATATATCAAAGCATGTCCTATTTGATTTCTTTGTAGAATCTCTACATAGTGATATTTTGGAAATAATTGAGAATACTAAATTAATTTTTCTATCTATGTTTATAAAATATCTTTTTTTCAGGAACTGAAGTGAAAAAAATTGAAGCTATAAATGTTCCTTGCACACAGCTTTCAATGTCATTTTTTAATCGGTTATACAATGAAGATATTGTACGAGACAATGGACATATTGTTAAGTGTTTAGATTCTTTTTGTGATCCCTTTCTCATTTCTGATGAGTTAAGAAAAGTAAGTACAGAATTTTAGTATTTCACAGTAGAGTTTTATTTCAGGAAACGCAAAATGTCAAAACCTTTTGCCTGACTAAAATGCACAAAATATCTCTTGTCAGTGTAACACTTTTTTGCCATTGGGAACACTTTTACTCTCAACTATTTGTGGATTTCAGTGGTTGTCAACTGGGTTGATTTTGCCCCCTAGGAGACATTTTTGGTTGTCACAACTCAGGGAGGGGTATGTAGAGGTCAGGGATGCTGCTAAACATTATACAATGCATAGGACAGCCCCCCACAACAAAGAGTTATTTGGCCCAAAATGTCTATAGTTAGTGTCACATAATAATGTGTGTATAAATTTTTGTATGAGAAACGAACTTGGGCTGTAAACTTTCACCTAAAGCACAATTAAAAAAAAAAAATTTAAGTGCGTGTGTAGAGTTAAGAAGCTATTGTACATTTATGATTTAATAATTCTAAAGGGAAAAAAAAATAGTGGTCTTCAGGAGCTCATGGTGGCCTGACTGTCATTTTGTTCCTTTTAAAAAAAATGACTTGTTAAATGCATACATAGGCTTGGGTTAATATTTGCTCTTTGTAATACTTTTCATAGAAATATTCACAAATCATTAAAAATTAAAAAAAAATGTCGATAGTGCTGAGGTAGAGAAACCCTGCTCTACTTAATAAATGGCTATTTTCTTCACTATAGGGCCCTTAACATATCATATTAAAAAATCCTTAGAGTAAATAAATCTTTTTATCTCTTTGCTGAGATGAACAAAACCATTTGATTAGCTCAGTTAAATGTTTTAATTGAGAAGTGCACTGAACTAGGAATCAGAAGACATGGATTATTTACCTGTTTCCTGATTTATTATGTACAAGATAATAATGGCCTTAGGCAAATCATTCAATCTGTTGAGCCTCAGGATCTTATCTATACAACCTGGTTATAAAATGCCTATTTTACCTCCTTCCTGGAATCCTTGAGAAAATGAGTTGAGAAAACATTTAAATGTATTATTTTAAAAGTATGAAATGTAAAACAGTATGTGTACTGTTGTTTCATGAGAAACTATTTGTTCTGTAAGCCTTCACCTGAATGAAGTACAATAAAAAATAAAAATAAAAAAATAGAAGTATGCAGTGCTGTTAAAATGAAATATTATAATTGTTCAGGGAGTATTACAAAGTGGTTAAAAATTAGGGTTTTCACATCAAATAGACATAGATTCAAATCCAGATTCTTAATAGCTGTGATAATCTCTCTAACCTTAGTTTCTTCATCTATAAAACAGGAATAATATAAGAACTATATGAGATTATGCATTTAAAGTGCTTAGTGCAATGCCTGGCACCTAGTAAACTTTAAATAATGTTAATAACTACTCATATTATTAATTCTACATTAAGAGAGAGGGGAGATTCTAATGTACTATAAATCCAGACAGGAATGAACTAAAGAAGGAGCTGATCCACCACTCTGCTCACAGGAGTCTTGTCTGCAGGAGATAGGAAGACATCTCTCCAGTCTGTACATTGGTCTACACTTGGGCAATACCCAAAAGGACTCTTTAACTTAGTTTAAGAACCAAATAAGATTAACTAATTGAGAATAACCAAACTCACAATTGAATGAGAGAACCGTATATAGTTTGCTCTTCAGTTAAAAGAAGCATATTTATATATAACACAAGGCAATGTAAACACTACACAGTGAAGATCTGATATTAATTTCTGCTCCTTAGCTAGGATTGGAAATTATTCAGGAAGTGTGTAATCTAGTCTGTATTTCCCTGCTAATCTCAGTTCTCTCTTTTCCTCACCGATCTGCCTCTTTGTCTAAAGACCTTTACCTCTAATTTCGGAGAATTCATCCTCATTCCTGCAGACAGAGAGATCTTCATCAACTGACTTTTTTAAAGGAGGATTAGCTTTCCGACAGAATTCTCTACAAAACTGCTTGCTGTCTGTCTTATTTCTCCCTATGAATAGCACCTCTATTCATGAAGTGCTCTGACTCTGTTTTTCTGCTAGTTGCCTGTATGTTTTGCTTTTGTGTTCTTTGCCGCCCTGTGGCAACAAGGAGGGTTTTAACTTGCTTTCTGGCTGGAAACAACAACAACAAAAACTTCCAGCTTTAGCCTGAATAAAAAAGGCCCCCCATTGTGCAGCAACACAGATGCTATTGGCACACTGTGTAATGTAAGTCCTGATAATAACCTTCTTCCTGATTGCTGTGGCTCAGAAATTTGACTGGTTAACTATTACATACCTACTATTTGAGGGCAAAACAACCAAAACAGATCTGTATGTGAATAGAGAGGGAGAACAGTGATAGCATGTTATTGTTTTAAAAGTCATTCCAACAAGGTTTTTTTAAATTATTTTTACTTTTAAATATGCACAGCTCAATCAATTCAATATATGATAGTGCTCATGTAAGGAATGTGTTAACTATTTCTCGAGACTTTATTCATCCTTGTATTAAGCCAGATCTCCAGGAAGCTGCAAACTTGGGCTTCAGTGGGAAGTCATTTCATTACAAATAGAGACAGAGACAGAGAGATAGGAGAGGGGAGAAGGAAGGAGGAAAGGGAGAAAAATGTGCAAAAGTTACCTACATGTATCACCTCCAGAGAGCACCTCCCTTCATCTTACCTAACCTTCACTATGACTGGCTTTCATTAAGTCTTTGTAAGTAAACTGTCCATATACGACATTATAGAATTTTTTTTTAATGTCTTATACAATAACTTTGTCATAAGTTTTCTTTAGAGATTGAAGTAAAATGTTTAGCCTTAACAATTTTCCTAATTACATGTACTTCCTTACTACTAGACAGTGATTGTTGTATAACTCATCGTATTTCCCTCCTTTTCCTGTATGGTAGGGTTCCTAAGTGTCATTCACAATTTCTATAGCCTTTTTCCATCTAGAGTTCCTTATGTGTGTTTATTTTCTCTTCCCACTTCATTTCTTGGTTATAGTTTTGTCTTTTATTAATTATTTTGGTCCTATCATATCTATATTTTTATTGTTAACTTTTGCATTCTTTTTTTAGAAGTTGGTGGAGTATAAACAATTCAATAAAAGAAATACACTAACTTACATTAATCAATGTATCCATGTCCGATAATCAACAAATTAACCAACTGCCTGTAATGCCTAGTACTATAAGAAGATTCTCCCCATCAGACAGAGTCACACTGTTTCCTAAAAAGAGGTATCAAGGTCTCAAAAGAGCAAGAATCAATTGAAATAGATGGTGTGTAAAAAAAGAAAAAAAACCAGTTGCCATCAAGTCGACTCCGACTCATGGCAGCTCCATGTGTGTCAGTAGAAGTGTGCTCCACGGGATTTTTCAGTGCCTGATTTTTCAGAAATAGATCCCCAGGACTTTCTTCCGAGGTTCCTGTGGGTGGTTAACAGCCAAGCTCATTAACCACTTGCACCACTCAGTGTAAAATGATGTTATTAGAGAAGAGCAGGAAGAGAAGTGGGTATGAGGCTCCAATTACCTGAATGGTTCAAAATGGAGTAACTGTGGGAGAAAGGAAAGGAGTGATCCAAACACTGTAAGGTGAGAGGGGTTAGAAAATGACCATTTGTGTTTAGCCTCTGGATAGAAGCAAAGGAGGGAGATGTTATCTGATGAAGTTTCCCCATTTATTTATATTCCCATTAATTTCCAAGTAAGACCTGAAGTGGCTTAATACTAAAAATGCAGTAGCACCGAAACAATGAAAAATATAAACTAGAACAGAGAGAAAGTGAAGAAAGATTGATTTAGCAGCTGTATTTTAAATTTTGCTTTATTCCTTTCACTGAATGTCAGTACCTAATGATAAAATGTAGTGGAAATAAATGTAGATCTCCCAGATCACTCTAATTGCCTCAGGATTGTTTCTCAAAATAGCTCTAAGATTATTTTAAATATATAATTGAAACTGTTTTGAAAACATATAAATTAGAGCCTCAAATTATGTTACATTAAGATGGGTTTATCATTTCTACATAGGTTTTACTAATGGAAGACTCAGAAAAATACGAGGTATTCAGCCAACGAGACAGAGAAGAGTTCCTGTTTTGTCTTTTCAAACATCTTTGTCTTGGTGGAGCCCTTTGTCAGTATGAAGATGTGGTTAATCCATATCTGGAGACAACAAAACTTATCTATAAGGATCTGGTGAGGTAATATTGCTAGATCACAATATGTAAATCTCTGGTGAATTGAGTGAATTATTTGTTTAACCATGGTGAGATTAAACTATCTGTTTCCAGTCATGGTAGCAACCAAAGTGTATAAAAATAGCACCGCTCTGGTGCTCTCCATAGCCGCCTCTTTTTCTTTCAGGCTAGGGAGTTTCTAGATTTCCCTCACCATCTCTTAGTCTTCAGTCCCTTTATTCTTCATCTACCTCTTCTCCGTATTTCCTCGTTCAGATCTGTTGCCCACTCCATCCTTATTCATAATTGCCATCTTACAGGCCTCCGTTTAAATCTCAAGGAAACACAAGAAATCTCTCAGGATGTTTGAATTTGCTTGACTGATGGTAAAAAATAATAATATATGTAATAAAAAATAAAAATGATCCCAAAGTTACATAGTTTGTTTTAAATATTCTATTGGAGTTTCTTTTTCCTTCTTAAAGATTAAATAGGGATAAAGACTTGCAAATCTCTTTTTTATACTTTTATTTTAACTGAAGTGAATATTGGTTTTGTTTTTCAGTGATGAAGGTAGTTGATTATCTTTGTAGACAAAGGGAAAATAAACAAATGAGAACAAAGCATCCCAATGTTTAGGTATATTATTTTACTTTAATAGAAAAGCAACAGAATTAGTTTCTCATCTGACTCTTGATTGTTGTTTTACTTATACTCAGTCTTTCAATTCTCATATCTGCTTCAGGCATGTGTCACATATCTACATGACAAATTGCATGATTCAGTTATTATTAGTTAATTTCTGACATGGTTTCAAAATCAAGAATATTTCTATAATCTCTAATTTTAATGAAAAGTTACTGTGTCAATGCATACAGAATATTGGAAGAGATATGTTAGAAACAGAATTTTAGAAAGAACATAAAAATACCTACATCAAATATCATTTAGATCTCATGAAAACTTACTAGCCTGCTGTAGCACTCCTCAGTGTACCCCTGACACACACACACACACACACACACACACACACACACACACACACACACACACACACACACACACACACCCCCAACACTACCACAGTGTGCTGGGCCCCATCAGCCACATGAATCTGTGGAATTCTGGAGGGGAAAGAAGAGATGGAGTAGGTGAGTCTGTTAGAGATATGTGAAATAACTTTAGGACCTAGACATTAAAGAAATTGCTGTTTTTCGCAATATTTCCTTCCCTGTCTTCTCACCTGTGATTCTCTTCTACAATTTTGGGGTGCTAAGAAAAAGTATAATTCCAAGAGTAATGACCACTTATAGATTGAGTGGCCAAAACGCATGCCATCATACAGAAAGAATAGGAATTGTCTCCATGGAATCACTTAATCAGGCAACCAAACAAAGCTGTTTGCTGTTGGGTCAATTCCAACCCATAGCGACCTTAGAGGACAAATAGAACTACCCCATCAGGCAATTAGCAAGTATTAATATTGCGCACAGAACTCTGCCAAGCTCTAAAGAGACTACATGAAGAGCATCAGACAGAAAATTTGAAACAAACTAACGGATAAGAAAATTAGAACAAACTAACATATTAAACAATAGTAATTATTTAAGATCTTGTATAAGTAAAATTTTGAAAAGTAAAATCTTTTAAATAATCAAATATTCAGTTTTTTTATAGGCAAATGTTTACAGATCTTTAGGCTATAATATAAATACACAGAAGATCAAAACAGGAAGTTGTCAGTGTGGGTATTAGCAATCAGGAAAGTCTTGATGGAATGGGATCCATGGAGGCTCGCAAAGAGGAGGGCAGCCTGTTCCTTGTTTAGGGCAGTGCATCACAAGTTTGTCATTCTAGGGGAGACTGGGAAGGAGACCGACCCAATTGTAGCAGTACTTTTCTTGAGGAACATTAAATATTTCTCTAGATGATCTAAGCTTAAGCAAGCTTAAGAATTTCTTTGCTGAATGAGGGGAAGATGAAATTGTCTTCCCAAAGCAACTTCAGAAGAAAATTATATTAAATATTTACTTATTTCAAATGTTTTATGGGAGAAAGGCCTGGTGATCTGCTCCTGTAAAGATTACAGCCTAGAAAACCCTATGGGGCAGTTCTAGTCTGTCATATGAGGTCGCCATGGGTCAAAATCAACGGCACAAGACAACAAGATGGTTTAGGTGCCAACACAAAACAATTGAACGAATTAAATGACCTGAGAGTACTGCAAAAACTATGTTCATTTACTTACCACATGCACTACGTGTGGTTTTTCTAGTTTTAGTCAACTCATGCTGATATGGGTCAGATGCTGTGTTACGTGGTTAAGACCATAGCATTTAGTGGTAAAAATAGAGAGTGGATCAATATAGAAGTTGTCATGGAATATATAAGTAGTGTAAGCTTAGGTGAAACTTGAAGTATCTTCAGTAAGCTACTCAGAATTCTGAGCCGCATAACTAGTCAAATCATTTGTACAAGCCAGCTTACCCAAGAAGTTTATTTTTTCCTGTTCCTTTGCTTGAATTTTTTATGTTTTTGCATGCTTTAAAAAAAATTTGCTATCTTTCTAATTATACCTGCAGTAACTGCTTTACAGCATCTGACATAATGACTAATCCATTCTAACAAAGACATCCATTTCTAATGTTTGAAAATGTTGAGAACATACTACAGAGTGTGATTTTAGTAGTCTCTGGCTGAAGCAAAAGGCTAACCACGTTCTTACGAATATTTTCTTCCTCACCCAGAACAATTAAAAAAAAAAAGTTGCCATCAAGTCGATTCCGACTCATAGCAACCCAATACAATAAGCCCTAAGAAATACATATTTTAAATGTTTTAGAAAATGCTTTCTTTTCAATTATGGTTCCTTTAAATCAAGTAGGCAATACTTTAGAACCATTTTTTTAGAGAGCAAATGACGAATTATTACATTTCAAAAAGGTATATGCATATGAAATGGTAAAGAACAATGATGAATCTTCAAAACATCTCACAACATGGATGAATCTGGACGGCTTTATGCTGAGTGAAATAAGTCAGTCACAAAAGGACAAATATTGTATGAGACCTGTATTATAAGAACTCAAGAAAAGGTTTAAACACAGAAAAAAGCATTCTTTGATGGTTATGAGGATGGGGAGGGAGGGGAACGGGAGATCATGAACTAGATAGTAGACAAGGGTCAACTTTGGTGAAAGGAAGGACAACACACAATACAGGGGAAGTCTGCACAACTGGACCAAAGCAAAAGCAAATAACTTTTCTAGACACATCTAAACACTTTGAGGGACAGAGTAGCTGGGGCTGGGGCCTGGGACCATAGTTTCAGGGGACATCTAGGTCAATTGGCATAACATAGTTTATAAAGAAAATGTTCTACATACCACTTTGGTGGGTAGCATCTGAGGTCTTAAAAGCTTGCGAGTGGGCATCTAAGATACATGTATTGGTTCTGTCCCACTCGGAGCAAAGGAGAGTCAAGAAAACCAAAGACACAAGGAAAATACTAGCCCAAAGGACCAAAGGACCAAATGAACCAGAGACTCCAACAGTGTGAGACCAGAAGAACTAGATGGTGCCCGGCTACCACCCATGACAGCCCTGACAGGGAACACATCAGAGAGACCTGGTCAGAGCCGGAGAAAAATGTAGAACAGAATTCAGATTCACATAAAAAGACCAAACTTAATGGTCTGTCAGAGATTGGAGGAAGTCCCGAAACTGTGTCCCTGCTGGACACTGTTAACCCGGAGCTGAAACCATTCCCAAAGCCGACTCTTCAGACAAAGATTAGACAGGACTACAAAACAAAATCATACACATGAGTAACATGCTTCTTAGTTCAATCAGATGTACAAGACCAAATGGGCAGCTTCAGTCCAAAAGCAAGATGAGAAGGCAGGAAGGGACACAGGGAACCCGGGGTGGAAAGGGGAAGTGTGCCGTCACATTGTGGGGATTGCAACCAATGTCACAAAACAATATGTGTGTAAATTTTTGAATGAGAAATTGAGCTGTAAACTTTCACCTAAAGCACAATAAGAAAATTTAAAAAACGCTTTACACTCTGTGAGTAAAAAAATATATATATGCAGAAATAATTCCATAGTTATGGTGCCTGTGTCTTTTCTACTTTAGGCATTAAACCAATGCTCTTGGCAAAGTTTTTGGAAAGGTTCCCCACACTACATATATACTCCAGATGTGAAATTGTATGATTTCAACTGAGAGGCTTAGATTATGTCTTTCAAGATGCTAATTAAGCAGTGGGATTGTTGGGGGTTTTTTAATTTTTTTTTTATTGTACTTTAGATGAAGGTTTACAGAGCAAACTAGTTTCTCATTAAACAATTAATACACATATTGTTTTGTGACATTGGTTGCCAACCCCATGACATGTCAGCACTCTCCCCTTCTCAACCTTGGGTTCCCCATTACCAGCTTTCCTGTCCCCTCCTGCCTTCTCATCCTTACCCCTGGGCTGTTGTGCCCCTTTAGTCTGGTTTTGTTTTATGGGCCTGTCTAATCTTTGGCTGAAGGGTGAACATCAGGAATGATAACACCAAGCTCTAAGGGTGTCTGGGGGCCATACTCTTAATTTCTCCAGTCTGTGTCAGGCCAGTAAGTCTGGTCTTTTTCTGTAAGTTAGAATTTTGTTCTACATTTTTCTCCAGCTCTGTCCAAGACCCTGTATTGTGATCCTTGTCAGAGCAGTCAGTGGTGGTAGCCGGGCACCATCTAGTTGTGCTGGACTCAGTCTGGTGGAGGCCGTGGTGGATGTGGTCCGTTAGTCCTTTGGACCAATCTTTCCCTTGTATCTTTAGTTTTCTTCATTCTCCTTGCTCCAGATGGGGTGAGACCAGTGGATTATCTTAGATGGCTGCTCACAAGCTTTTAAAACCCCAGACACTACTCACTGAAGTAGAACATTTTCTTTATAAACTGTTACGCCAGTTGAGCTGGATGTTCCCCGAGACCATGGTCCTAGGCAGTGGGATTCTTGTCAAAATTAGCAGAGTGACCTAGCATGGTCTGTGTATCCTGATGTTTAGAGTTGATATTGAACTGATCCTCAGAAGTTAGCACAAATTGTATTGATAAGAAATCATTCATTATTTATTTCTAAATCATTAATATAATCACACTGTTTAAAAGAATTATATGGAAATTATGTTCCTGCATCATTAAAAACCTAGTTACCTGGAGACTGAGTGACTGCCAAAGATCTAGTATAATGAAGTTATTAGTGGAACAGCCTAGGACACTAATGAATATCACTTTACTTTTTCTTTTTTTTCTTAAGAAATATAAACAAAAAAACCCAAAGTCGTTGCCGTTGATTTGATTCCAACTCATAGTGACCCTATAAGACAGAGTAGAACTGCTGATGTAAGATGGATCTTGGCTGAAAGCAGAGAATACCAGAAAGATGTTTATCTGCTTTATTGACTATGCAAAGGCACTCGACTGTGTAGATCATAACAAATTATGGATAACATTGTGAAGAATGGGAATTCCAGAACACTTAATTGTGCTCATGCAGAACAAATATATAGACCATGAGGCATTCATTCAAACAGAGCAAGGGGATACTGCATGGTTTAAAATCAAGAAAGGTGTGCGCCAGAGTATTATCTTTTCACCATACTTATTCATTCTGTATGCTGAGCAAATAATCCAAGAAGCTGGACTATCTGAAGAAGAATGTGGCATCAGGATTGGTGGAAGACTCATTAACAACCTACATTACACAGATGACAACCTTTCTTGCTGAAAGTGAAGAGGACTTGTAGCACTTATTGATGAAGATCAAAGACTACAGCCTTCAGAATGGATTATACTTCAACATAAAGAAAACAGAAATTCTCATAACTGGACCGGTAAGCAACATCATGATAAATGGAGAGAAAAGATTGACGTCAAGGATTTCATTTTGCTTGGATCCACAATCAACGCCCGTGGAAGTAGCAGTCAGGAAATGAAACGATGTATTGTACTGGGCAAATCTGCTGCGAAAGACCTGTTTAAAGTGTTGAAAAGCAAAGTTGTCACTTTGAGGACTAAGATTCACCTGACGCAAGTCATGATATTTTCAGTCACCTCATGTGCGTGCAAAAGCTGGACAATGAATAAGCAAGACCAAAGAAGAACTGATTACCTTTGAACTGTGGTGTTGGCGAAGAATATTGACTGCCAGAAGAAAAAACAGGTCTGTCTGGGAAGAGATACAGCCAGAGTGCTCCTTAGAAGTGAGGATGGGGAGACTTCGTCTCACGTACTTTGGACGTGTTATCAGAAGGGACCAGTCCCTGGAGAAGAACATCATGCTTGGTAAAGTAGAGGGTCAGCAAAAAAAGAGGAAGAGCCTCAACGAGATGAATTGACACAGTGGGTACAATAATGAGTTCAAACATACCAACAGTTGTGAGGATGGCGCAGGACTGGGCTGTGTTTCGTTCTGTTGCACAGAAGGTCACTATGAGTCGGAAGCGACTCGACAGCACCTAACAATGGCAACAATTATTAAATGCAATATCAAATGTTAAATTTTTCTCTAAGCTTATTTGATAAGCATAAACTTCTACAAGTTTTTTTTTTTTTTTTTGTAGATTTTTTTAAAATTGAGGGATAATTTATGTGTAGTATAGTGCATGGAGTCCTTGGGTAGTGCAAACAGTTAACGCACTCAGCTGCTAACCAAAAGGTTGGAGGTTCAGATCCACCCAGAGATGTCTCAGAAGAAAGGCTTGGTGACCTACTTCCAAAAAAGTAGCCATTAAAAACTCTATAGAGCACAGTTCTACTCTGACACACAGAATCAACTCAGTGACAACAAATAGTGCACAAATCATAAGTGTATAGCTCAGTTAATTTATGTATGTGATTATACCCACATAACTATCCCCAGATCAAGATTTAGAATTAAGATAAAACCATAGATATGTTCTGTATTTTGATTGAGTAGTAATATAGATATATACAAATGTTTTATATGTAGTGAGTATAGTCATCCTTGGATAAGCACAATATTTTAAATGTAATCTTCAACTTTTAAGCAGCTTATCTTAGGCGTTGTTGTTGGTTGCCATTCAGTTGGCTCTAACTCATGGCGATCACATGTACAACAGAACGAAAACTTGCCAGGTCGTGTACCGTCTTCATACTCATTGGTATGCTGAAGACCATTTTTGCAGCCACTGTGTATTTTGAGTGCCTTCCAGCTTAAGGGGCTCATCTTTCAGCACTATATTGGACAATATTCTGTTGTGATCTGTTGGATTTTCATTGGCTAAATGTCAGAAGTAGATTACCAGAGATATCTTCTAATTGTCTTAGTCTGGAATTTCCACTGATACCTGTCCATTATGGGGACCCTGCTAGTATTTGAAATACCAGTGGCATAGTTTCTAGCATCATAGCAACATGCAGGCCACCACAGTACAACAAACTGACAGATGGGTGGTGGATCTTAGGCATTAGAGAAATATAAAAATACTACCTCTCCCCATGTCATAGAAATATTTGGAAATCAGTTTAATTGCATGACTTCTGAGTTTAAGTCTGAATGATATCTCTAGTAAGGATGAAAACTACCTAAGAATCTGGAAGACCTGAAATGGCTTAGGACTGACCATCTCTGTTAAGTATACAAGCTTAAACCCACACATACACACCTCCCACAGAATTCATCTTCTTTCTTCACTCTCTTCCCATTACTTTTAAATGTGTAGTAGAAGGGGGAAAGCAATACTTTACCTGATAAAGTGAAAAAGAGAAGTATCTTCCTTTAAATTTAACCTACATATGTCATACGTGAGTTATACCTCTGAAATAAGCAGACACAAAAGGACAAATATTGTATGATCCTATTTATATGAAATATCCAGAATAGGCAAATGCATAAAGACCAAAGTTTATTAGTGGTTACCAGGGGCAGGTGGGTGGGGGTAATAGGGGGCATTACTTAAGGGATACAGAGGTTTTGTTAAGGGTGATGAAAAAATTTGCAAACAGTGATGATTGCTGCACAAATTGTAATTTGTGAATGTAATTAATGTCACTGAATTGTACACATAAAAATGGTTGAAATGGTAAATGTTTTCTTATATGTATTTCACCACAATAAAAATTTAAATAATACTGATGATATATATGTACTCATAGAGTATAGGAAAAGGGTAAACAGCAAGCAAACTGAACTCTGAGTCACCTGGATTCAGTTCCCAGAAATATCAATTTTAGTTGGATTGTCTTAAATAAATCATAACTTGTCTAGTTTTATTGTCTATAAAATTGGTAAAATATTGCCCTCCTCACTGAATTGTGTGGTTTTTAAAGGAAGTAATGTATGTAAAGATATCTTACAAATATTAAAGCATTATAAATGTAATGTGTATGTATATTTATATATAGATAATGAATATATAAATATATATCTGTAGCTTATTTTCTCAGACCTCAGTTGCTTCCTTACTATATATTGCCACAGTTACTCTTTTTGTAGGCAGAGTAACTAAAAGAGAAGTACTAAGGGGAAATTATTCTTAATATAGTATAATTTAGCAATATATAATTTAACAAATTATTTTCATATACGTTATCTCACTTAATTCTTATATTAAAAGGAATCATATTATAACCAGTTTACATATGCAAAAATTGAGATTCAGTGAGGTTAATCTTGCCTAAAGGAGCCCTGGTGGTGCAGTGGTTAAAGCACTTGTCTACTTAACAAAAGGTCAGTGGTTCGAACCCACCAGCTGCTCCATGGGAGAAAGATGTGGCAGTCTGCTTGCAAAAAGATTTACAGCCTTGGAAACCCTATGGGGCAGTTCTACTCTGTCCTGTAGGATCACTATGAGTCATAATTCAACTCGAAGGCAATGGATTTGCTTTTTGGGGCTTGGAAGTAGAATAACAAATCACTATCAGAGTTGACATTAGAAATTAGATTGTTTAATTCTTTAATATGCTTTCCTTTACCCATAACAGCTGTCTACACCTCAATTAGACTTTCACCAATCCCTGTTTTACCACTAATTGTCTCTGTGGCCTGAGAAAATCGGTTCATCATCTGAATCTCAAATTGACCTCAAACCTTCTAACTGTAAAATTCAGTTTCCCCCAATTTCATTTCAGTTGACCTTGCCCCATACTTGGATGAAACCTCAGATACCATTCTTTGCAAGCCACTTTAATTGGATATTATGTATTTCCGTATTCTGTACGAATAAGAACACCTGAATAAATACTAAAAAGGATCAGTATTTAAAATGCATTACATTTAAACTTTACCCATTTTTCTTTTTTAGTGTTCGAAAGAATCCTCAAACCAAGAAAATACAAATTACATCTTCTGTCTTTAAAGTTACAGCATATGTAAGTGTTGAGGGGATATGTGCAACTAATTTAATTACTTGTTATTAATAGTGTTGGAGTCAGCAAGTAGGAGAATGTTATGCGTAGGAGAAAAGATGTTTTCCTTTAAAAGTTGATAGTGTATGCTTTTGTTTGGGGAATAGTATGGACTTCTGGCATCCTTTCTCTTGTCTGTATCCAAAAATATTCCCTACCTATTTTGGAACTAAATCTGTGACTGAGATGGAGTAGAGTACAGTTCTCTAGTCTCTGAAACCATAACTTATAGGGCAAATAAATAAGAATGCCATACATGTCTTTATATCACAGAATCCAGTACCTGAATTTTAGTGTCATACTGTGCTGGGCTAGGACACAGTGATAAATAAAAGAGGTATAGTCCCTGCTCTCATGGTGCATATGGAGCATGTTCCAAAAGAAAGCAAAGATAGACAAAAATTGCAAAATAGACATTTTTGCAACATTAGCACTTTAAACATACTTTTTTAAATGATAGAATTTGTCTTTGGACTATAATTTCCTTAGAGAAAAGAATTATGCATATATGCATTGTAGACATGTATTGTTAGTATGGTGTACCATGCTGTTAATAAATGTTTAATAATATTAGTTAACCACCAATTTATTATCAAAGGTTTTAAGTATGTCTCAAGATGTTTTGGCAGAAAATATATAATCAAGTATATTGATTATCATTGCAATGTAGTTGAATACTAAATAATTTAGGTTTATCTTTTTCAGGATTCTGCTGGTATATGCTACCCTTCCACAAAGGGTCATGAACAGACATTTTCTTACTTTATCGTGGACCCCATCAAGCGTCATGTTCATGTTTTATACCACTGTTATGGTGTGGGGGAAATGTCTTAACAATGCTGTTTCAGATTATCCATATCTACTCTTTTTTTTAATTCACTCATTTTTTAATTTTAATTCTAATTTGCAGATAAACATTTACTTTGCAGCTTAACTTGAGTGAAATATAAAGAGCCTACTTAGAGCAGAAGAAAACAAACACCAAGATGCCTTTTTTTAAGTTCACCTGGAATACTAATACAGGAACCAACTTCCATCCTTTGTATGATCTGTACCAATACCAGTTGTAGAGTTTTTACAGAGTTAAAAGGCATTAAAAATCTAGTTCATATTTATTGCATTAATATTCAAGTAAGTCCTCAATTTTCCATGTATTTTATTTTAGAAGCTAATTAATTCTGAATTGAAACTGTAGCATAGCAGAAAACTAAACATCTGTACTACTGATTATTATTATGCATTACTTTTTCAACTTGAGTTTCATTTAATTACATTTCTTCACTGCATAAAGATTTATATCTCTAAAGCTGTGAAAAAGTATACTAGTAATCGTTGGATACATTGTACCACTGAAAAGCCTCAATTAAAAAAAAAAGTTCTGAAAGTAGTTGTAAAGTCTTTTTAATCACGTGATAAATCAAAATTGAAATTAAAATTAGCCCTGCAGCTAATACAAGAGCTATGAATAAACTGAGAGAGCTGCCTTGCTGGTATTACTAAGTTGGCAAAAGAGCGAAGAACAGTGTCTCATAGTACTGTCCCTTCATTGCATTAATACAGTGAAGGTATGACTTAGTTTTTTTATGGAAAAAGTGATTGACATGTACCCAAAGACAATGAAATGCTGAGCCTGCAAGAAATGCTGAGAAGCAGCAAGTTTGAAATACGTGTTTCTGTGTTGTAGGGATAAGGATGATAATTTTGGATTTGAACCTGTGGATCTGTCTGGAAAGCAGCTGGCAGTGTGGGTATAGAGCTCAAGAGAGAAAATTTGTAGACAGATTTGAGAGATGAGTACAGATCTCGTTACATAAACTCAGGTATATAAGAAATGTGATTTTTACTATGCTTCTATAAACACAAACAAAAGCATTGCCATCAAGTCCATTCCAACTCATGGCAACCCCCTGTGTTACAGAGTAGAACTGCTCCATAAGTTTTCTTGGCTGTAATCTTTACAGAAGTAGATTGTCTGTTCTTTGTTTCATGGTGCCATTGAGTTGGTTCAAACTGCCAACCCTTAAATCAATAGTTGAGCACAAATAGTTTGTGCCACCTAGGGACCTGTAACTCCCTCTATTTCCCCGAAGTTGTAGTGGGGTGGACTTACATGATGTCAAAATGTTAGAGTAGGTTTCATATTCTTGATATCTTCTAGCCACAGTAACATCTGCTGAGCTGTCCATCTCCCATCCTATCTTTGATCATCAGATCACACAGATCACTGCATCCTCTGACCTAAAAATATGAAACACAGCTGTTTTTTCTCTGGTGTCGTACTGTCTTTCTGAGATCTTACCCAGGAAACGGCACAGTTTTGCTGCCTCCTGGGAAGCTCGATCTTTGGAGTAGAGTACAGGATCCCTCTCTCTGAGACCCACCAAAAATATTGATACTGCCTTGACTTTCCCTCCCATTCTCTGCCCAAGGGATCTTTTTCTCACCTTACTTGGGATGAAGGTGGAGTTGGGTCTTGGTCTTTTGGGTTTATTCATATTTTCTTCAAAATCCGTGAGCCTTTTCTGCTCCTCTGAGGGCCAGGCCTTTGAAACATTAAAGTTGAGGATTAATTCTTTCTCTATCTTTTTTTTTTTTTCCTATTGTATCCTTTCCCTGAAGCAATTAGTACAGAGTAGAACTGCCCCATAGGGTTTCCAAGGCTATAAATCTTTATGAAAGCAGACTGCCACCTCTTTCTCTGTGGAGCAGCTTTTGGGTTAGAACTGCCAACCTTTCAGTTAGCAACCAAGCACTTAACCACTGCACCACCATGGCTCCTTTCAAAGAACAACAGTAAGGATTAAATAAGATTTTTTATGTATATAAAAATCACCTACCATATAATATTTTAGTATATGCTCATTAAATGTTAGGTCTCTTTCCCTTCCCACAATGGAGGCAACAATTCTGTTTGACTATTTCTTTTAATCTTAACATCTTCTAGCTTAGTATCCAGTGTAATCCTATCAACATTTGTATTTATTTATTTAGCCTGTAAGATCTTTGAGGTAGATATTACTATCTTGATAACTGTTGTATTCCTAGTACCTAGCACAATGCCGTAGTACATTAAATGTTTATTGAATGAATAACTACTTTCCAGACATGATCGCAATATCCATAGATTTTTTAAAAATCATATAAAAACATAAAATCAAGGACAAAAATGTCCCTCTGCTATCAGTCTTGCTGCCACCATACAGGTCCATTTGACCTGGGGACCTCCCTCTTTATCAATCAGTTGGTCAATCAATTCTTTTTGAGTACCAGTTCTATCCAAAAAGAAACCATTGATTCCCTCACAATTCCAAAGCAAAAACCATGGAAAGCAACTTGAAAACAAAACAGTACAATGGCCTGAGAAACACAGGTCTTGGGAATGTGACTGCTTGCAAGCATGCTTTAATTACACCAAAACCAAAAATCCAGACCCATTGCTGTGGGGTCGATTCCTACTCCTAGTAGGCCTATAGAACAGAGAACTGCCCCATAGGGTTTCCAAGGAGCAGCTGGTGGATTTGAACTGCTGACCTTTTGGTTAGCAGATATAGCTCTTAATACTGAGCCACCAGGGCTTCAAGGCACTGTACTATTTACTTTGGGGAAGGACGCACTCCCTAATCTGCTCCCGTAAAGATTACAGCCTAGAAAACCCTATAGGGCAGTTCTCTGTCACATGGGGTCACTATGAGTCAGAATCACCGTGTTGGCACATAACAGCAACAACAACAGCATAACCTAATTGGGAAGGTAATCTATAAGAGCGTGGCTATAGACAGTGGTTGTTACATGAATTCAGAAATAGAAGAATCACTGTGAATTAGGCTTAGGGTTTGGTCTGGCTGCTATGGAAGAACTGGTAGTTTCAACAGCCGAAGAGGAGAGCGAAGAGGAGAGCATTCCAAGGGCATGAAAGGAGCATGATATGTCAGGGCGCTCAGAGCCTGGCCCTGGGATAGAGTCCAGAGATGGGGAACTGATACTGATTGCTTCCAGTGCTATCTCTGCTATAAAGGTGAAGATAGAACATATCTTTGAGGAAAGATTGCTCCATTGTTTTGCAAAAAGCTTTTTAATGACCCTTCTGTGATTATGCAAATTCTCTGTATGGAGAGGCATAATATCATAGTGATAGAGAGTCAGATTGCCTGGATTCTTGGTTCTTGCTGTTACTTGCTGTGTGACCTTGAGCAAATTATTAAACCTTTCTGTGCCTTAGTTGCCTCATCTGTGAAATAGGGAAAATAGTAGGATTCCCTCATAGGTTGTTGTGAAGGTTATAGAAATTAATACATATATTGTGCTTAGAATGGAGCTAATCACATAATTTAAGTACTCATGGATTTTAGCTATTTTCATTCTCTAGTTAGGAAATAAGGAAAATGAGGAGCTAAACTGCAAAATAATGTAAAAATCTGCCTTCCTTGTGGTAGAGTTGCTTTTCTGTAGATTATTATTACTAATTTGATTGGATAGAATACAAGAGGTGGGAAAACTGGTTTTTCCTCTCTTCCTGGGGCCTCAGAGAATGTAGAGGACCTGAATTTGGACTCCACGGATTTCTGTGGCAGCACTTTGCACGCTTGGAATTATTTGCTTAACTATTTGTAATAATTTGTGTCATGAAATCAGAGACGGTCTATTTTGTTCACTCTTTTATTCCCAATGCCTAGCACAGTGCCTGGCACTTAAAAGACTTAAATAAATATCCATCCTCTGACTGACAGAGTCCTTTTGACAAAGAAAAGCTGGTCCTTGAAATGTGACTGCAGGTGTGGAGAGTGAGGGAGTGGGAGGGTGGGTACAAAGGTCAGCGAGTATTAGTATGGAACCCTCCTTTGCAGGGGCACAGCCAGTGGACTAGCAACCTTCATATCTAGATGCCCATTCGAAGTTTTCTGTGCAGTAATCCCTCCAGTTATCCCTAAACCTTTTGAAAAATTCTGCAGACTATTATAGTCTGCATTTAGCTGTACTGTGTGGGATCAGATATGAGGCCTGGGAATATGCCTGAGGCAAAATTGTCCTTGGAAAACAGCAACAGCCTGTAGAAGCCAGCTTTGAAAGGGCAAGCTGTGATCAACTGAGGGTGGAGGGTGGAGGATTTGGTTGGGACAGCAGACTATGGTGACAAATAACGTTTTCTGGGAATTGAGAGACATTCTTCAGAAATTCTGAAAGTTACTTAAGGAGGGGGTTCACAGAACTGTAATTTGGGCGTTAAAAAGAGGGACTTACGCTGAAGGCTGGAGAATGTGGGAACACTTAGGCCACATGAGCAAAAATAGGGACAGGGTGGTTTGGGTGCACATGAGTACACCTGACTAGTTAGAACTGAAGAGTCTCTCCCAGGAGTTCTTTGTAATAACACAGGGAAGACAGACTAGTGGGACCTGGTCACTGAAGGCTGTGGGTGCAAAGCTAGGAAATTTATATCTTTTCAGTAGGTAATTGGTAGGAGTCATTAAGACTTGTGACCAGGGTGGTAACATCATGAAAGTGATATTCTGTGACATCTAGTCTGCCAGTGATGAATTGGGGTGAAGAAAGTCCAAAGATAAATCGAAGATTTATTACAGTTGTCAAGGCACAGAATGGACTGGTCTGAGTTAATAGCAATGGAAACCTCTCTGGGCATCATGAAGTATGTGACAATGGAATGCTTATTAAAAAAAATCAAATATTGCCCCCAATAGGGTCAGCAGACTGAGTGAATTAAGTGTTGAGTATTTGAGGTACTGTGGGTTGGGAAGTGGGAACTGTGGTAGGAAGTTGTGGTCAGAAAGGGGAAATCCCTCATCCTGAGCCCTCCCCTTGTATTCAGATCCACAGGCCTGTCATTCCTGTCCCAGCCCGTTCTCAGCTAGCTTTGGTCCTTACAGCTTGGCGAAAACCTAGGTCTGAAGGCACTGAAGACTGAAGGATTCTTAGGAGAATTATCTATCCTGAGGGCTTCTCATTCATCCAGTCAGTAAGTATTCATTAAGAACTAATATCTATTCATTTTTGCCACAGGTGTTTATTGATTGATTGCCTTTTGTGTGCCAGGCATTTTCTA